AGGCATCTCCACTCTTCCCCAGCTCAAGGGCTGAGGTCTTTAGAAACTCAGTGTCTTGCGGTGTCCAGGTCACGTGGCAGGTGGAGTAACCGAGAGAATGAGTCCCTGCCTCGCGGAAGGGTTGGAAGGGTCGGAAGTGTCGGCCCTCTGAAGGGTCGCTGAAACTCTGTCCTTACGACCTCTCTGGCACCAGGCTTCCTCAAGGTCTTAGAGTTGTCGGACCAACCAAACAGTCTGTGGACAACTTTCCCACTCCCAGTCATTCAGCCACTGCACTGTGTCACCTCCAGTGGCAACTTCCAACCGCCCAGCCGTGGACGTGGAGACGGAGGTGTGAACACCGCACTAGGAGCTACAGAGAGGAAGCTGGTGCCCTGCTCACTTCCTTTCTGGGGGCGCAGAGGAGTAGAGCAACAGGAAGAGGAACCCGCAAGAAGCCAGCGATGGTCTGGGTCACACCCACAGTACCACCTGCCCTGGACTGGCTGTAGGCTTCTCCATAGGAAGCTGCTCACTCAACTGCTGGGGGTGGGGTTGTGAATCAGGAGTCGCCCTCCGCCCCCACCATTGTCTCTCTGGCTCATTGTTCCTCCTTGAGGGATCGTGTCATCCCCATATCTCCCAACGTGTATTCAACTCCGCCATTCTCCGCTATCTCGCCTCTCTTCCCTTATACTCTCATCACTCACTCCCTGCTCACATCCCTCAGCCACTTAGGACCCTGGCTCCTGGCTGCTCCACCTCTTGTCCTACCACTACCCTGTGCAACTCAGTGCTCACAGGGACAACGTACATAACACCTGAGGGACCCTACGATTCCCCTGGGGTACCTGGGCCCCACCCCAGAGCCTCGGATTCAGCAGGACTGGGGCAGGGCCTGGAATTGGCTTTTCTCCCACCCTCACATGATCCAGTGTTGTGGCTGCTCCTGGGCCCACACTTTAGAAACACAGCCCCTTAACCTCCTCAACCCCATTGGTCTTCACACCCCTCCGCTTCAGCCACACTCTGAGCCTTGGTCTCCTAAATTGTTCCACACCTAAAATCTGAAAATCCCATTCAAATCATAATCTATCGCAGTGAGAGAAACTGGACAAGGGAGCTGGAGAGTCAACATTTTATGTAATGAGAGCACAAGCTTTTAGTCCCCTCCCCCTTTTTGTTTTCAATGCATTAGCCCTTTTTGGCTCTGCTTCCTGTCCTAAGGAGCTGAGAGCCCGTGGGTCCGCTGCAGGACCCCAGACCTGGATAAGCCTCAGTGTCCCGTATTGTCTCATCCAATATTGTCTCAAAGATGTGGTGAAACCCATGTGAAATTGTTCACTACAGATAAGTAAGTAAACACAATTAAGCCTGTGCATGCCTTGCTTACCATAAACCCGTGCATACCTTGCTTACTGGTCGCCCCTGATCAAAGGCTGTGTCACCTCCATGCTCTTAACCACCACATCATATGTAGCTAGTACTCAAGGCACATTTAACAGAGGCAGTCAGTGACTACAGCAAATTTAGAGGGCCTAAGAACATGGGTGTACGACCCTTTGCTTGGTTTAATGCTCTGCTGTCACCATCTTGAAATTCTTAATAATTTCTGAAAAAAAGTCTCCTTATTTTCATTTTTCCTTTGGCCTCACAAATTAGATCAACAGTCCTGCTTGAGAATCACCCAGGAGGCGTGCTAAATGCAGATTCCCAGGTACCTTCCCACGCTTCTGACTCAGGAGGTGTGGAACAGGGCCGATGAATCTGCAAGTTTAACAAGCACCTTCATTCTAGACTCCTGGGGCTGCCTCTTAAGAAACAAGAGTAGGACTATAATGGTTATCATGGGGCCATCGGTGGGGTCTTGGAGGGTCCATGTAAGATCAGCTGCAGTTTCTGATGCTGCCACAGCGTGGCGGTATAGCCTCGGAGTTTGTAAGACTAAATTTTAAAGAGACAGTTCCAGAAAGTGAGCAATCTGCTTGACATCTTAAAGATCCCTGCCCACCAACCATCTTCCCACAGAGGTGCAATTAGGCCTTCTCTCAGTAACGGTTTTTAGGTCATACTATATGCCAGTTGAATCAAACATGCTGGCGATTGTGAGGATGACGCAGGACCGGGCAATGTTTTGTTCTGTTGTAGATAAGGTCACTGTGAGTCAGAGTCGCCGTGACGACGGCCGCTAACAACAATTTGCCAGTTAGTGTAGCCCTGGTGGCACAGTGGTTAAGAGCTCGGCTGCTAACCAAAAGGTCAGCAGTTCAAATCCACCAGTCACTCCTTGGAAACCCTGTCGGGCAGTTCTACTGTCCATAGGGTGGCTGTGAGTCGGAATGGACTCTACGGCAATGGGTTGGTTTGTTAGTTTTTTTGGTAGCTGGAAGCCTCAGGGGAGATGCTGCTCCACCTTTTCAGAGGGCAGGTGGCATGGAAATGGCAGCGAGGTTGTGGCTTCTTCAGGATCCCTCTGCAAACTGTTACAGAAAGGACCCAAGCAAGCTGGCAACCGAGGGCATGGGGGCTGGCACCGTCGATGGCCCTATGATAACCATTCATAGTCCTACAGTTTTTCAAAGTCTGTCTCACACTGACACCATCTTGTCATTGGAGGCTGAAACCATTGCCATTAGATGGGGAACACTGAGGTTCAGAGAAGGTGAGTGACACAGCCTAGGGCAATGTAATTGTAAGTGTACAACTGGATTCACACCCAGCTGTCCAGCGTTCCTCCAGCCTCACTTTGGTTCTTACACCGGGCTCCACATTAGAATCACCTGGGAGCCCTAAAAAATAAATACATAAATACCCTGCCTGGGCTCCACCTTGACCAAGAGGGTCCGAATGGTTGAGGGGGAGGCATTAGCATCGTTGTCTGGTAAGTGCCGCAATTGGTTCAGATGTGCAGCCAAGGTCGCACAAATGTGCGCTGCGCTTACCCAGAGAGCCCGCACGCGCTACCTCACTCGTCAGCAGCCAACAACTGAACGGGTGGGGAGGCGGGAGCACCCTTCAACTGGATGACAGGAAATCAGACTCCACGTAGGGACCATTTGCCTGCAGGGTCCGGAGCACTCCAGACTCTCCAAGCGACCCACCCTGCTCCCGCCCACAGGGGGCAGTATACATGAGGGCGGAGCAGCATACAGGCTGTGAAGTTGCAGTAGGGTAGCAGCCTCGGGGTGGAGGTTGGGCACCTCTCGGGACCTTCTTCCACATCTGTAAAGTGCCGCTAATAATAGCGCTTCTTTCTTGAGGCCATGAGGATTAATTAACTGAATTAATGTACTTCCAGCGCGGCTGACCACGTGCAGTGGCCAAATCTCCTGCTGGCGTTGGCCTGGAGCGGCCTAGAACACGCCTGGCTGGGATTTGTCTGTCCTTGGGGACCTGGTTTTCTTCCACTCAAAAGGGATAAAGCCCATCCCCGGAAAGCCCTAGGTGTCCCTCTGCCTCTCCAGACTTGCTTTAAGATGGAAGGTCAGGGTACGTGGATTGGGCAAAGCCGCCAATGGCGGCCCCTTCTCTGTGGCTGGAAGGATTCAGGCTCCATACACAGGAGAGCAGAGCAACGTGAGACGTGAGGCTCTGCGCTGTGTGTGTGACTGGCGGGGGGGGGCGTGCTTACCTACTGAGCATGTCCTCATCCCTTGCTCCATTACAAAGGGGAGAGAGGTCCCCTGGACTTCTACCAGGGGTTGAGGGGACCAAGAGAACAAAGTGGGTAGAGATCTCAGTTTTAAGAAATAGGGCCTGCACTCTGTGCCTTAGTTTCCCTAGTCCCTCAGCCTTGGTTCTTTCACACACACACCGCTTTGTACCCAGTGGTGAAGAGAAAAATTAGTAAGTCATCTTACTTTGACCTTAAGGTTCTTCTTACCCATGAAACCAAATATTAACCGTAAAAAAAAAAAAAAGAAATTCCCGGCCAAAAATCTTGCCAGCAGTTTTTATCACCCAAAGTTGCTAATCTTTTCTTTCCTGTTTGAAGCCAGGCTTACTTAAATTTCAGAAGACAGCATGGCTGCAGTTGGGTGGAGGGCCCGGAGACCATCTTGTGACCAGTATCAGTTGATCTCAGTAAAAAGGGGGAGGGCAGGATTCAATCAATCGTGTTAAGATTAGCCAATGGTTGACCTTCAATTCTTCTCCCTCCTTTCTTTATAAACCTCACTGTAACCAGCCTACTTGGAACAATTTGCTTTTTTGGAATCAGAATGGTCTCCCTATATGTATATAGAATAACTGCTCAGAATAAACCTTACATTTCAATTTCAATGAGTTTTAATTATTTTTAACACCAGTTAACACTTGGGTCTGAGTTCTCTAACACCTTTGTGAATATCAACGGCCCCCCCAAGGCCTTTTCCCTTGGAGCAGAGTTGAAATGTCTCTTCCTGGGGAGGAGAGCTGTCCTTTATTTCAGGGGGCCAAAACCAAACCCATTGCCGTCCAGTCGATTCCGATTCATAGCGATCCCACAGGACAGAGTAGAACTGCCCCATAGAGTTTCCAAGGAGCGGCTGGTGGATTTGAACTGCCAATCTTTTGGTTAGCAGCCGAACTCTTAACCACTGTGCCACCAGGGCTCCATTTCAGGGGCCAGAGAACCTCAATTCCAATGTTTTCACTTTCCCCTTCTCCCTTAGCCTGGGAGAGGAAGATAACATACCATATGCTCTTCCTTCCCTCCTCCATGGCCCATCCTGCACCTTTGACCTAGCCAGGCGGGGCTGGACAGGGGCTGGATGCCTTTCCTCTGAGTCCAGCTGGGGAGACCCAGACTCCTGGGGTTGTGTCGGGCCTTCCATTTCCGTAGGCCAACACCACTCCAGGGAAGACGCCCCATCCTTCTTATTCCCATGTTATGAATAGGAAACTGAGGCCCAGGAAGGCCATGCCTTTCCCATTTCGCAGGGCAAAGTTGGAAACCAGAGCAAGGTGTGGGGGAGGAACGGGCAATGGGCCTTCAAATGGACAGGGAGGCCCCAAAGACTCAGGGAAAAGACACACTTTATTTTTCCTTCCTTTAATCTTAAGCAAAAGAGACACAGGGGTTCAAAAATAAAAATTTTTTCCCCCCTCCCAAAACTTTACCCCAGCTCCCCCGTAACCACCACCCCCTTCCTCACCAGCAGGAGGCAAGAGGGGAGGGTGTGGGCATCTCCAGCTGGGGATGGGGAGGGCAGTGGGGTGTGCCGAGCTCGGTGCTGGTCTCTTTCCAAATATAAATACATGTGTCAAAACTGCTGGAAGATCCTCCCCACCCACCACCCGGCAGTCTCCTTTCCTGATGGTGTTTGGGGGAGGGGAGGGGTGCCAGGCACCGGCTGGCCAGGGGTTACTGCATCCGCTGGGCGTGGGCCCCGCGAGCCTCCTGCTGCTCGTTGTAGAAGAGATGGCACTCGGGGTCCCCCCGGATGGTCGGGGCACCCTGGATCAGCTTCCCGGTATTGGGGTTCACACACCAGCACTCTCCACGCTGCCCGTTCAGAGACATCTTGCACTGAGGACAGAGAAAAGCAGAACGTGGAAGCCATCCCCAGCCCCCAGCCTTCCTTCGTTCCTCCACAGACTTGTGTTGAACAGCGACTGTGTGCTCAGAGCTAGCACAGCAGGGTGGGGCTTCTCAAACGTGAATCTTTTAAAATGCAGATTCTCATTCTGAACTCCGGCAGCCCCAGATTCTGCATCGGTAACAAGCTCCAATGTGATGCTGATGCTGCTGGCCCAGGGACCACACTCTGATTAACCAGATTAGTGGGGATGCCTGGAGATTAAAAGACTCGGCCCCTCCACTCAAGGAGGCCCCATCTAGTGGGGACCCAGTACACATCTTAGTGGAGTTCATTAGAGTGGAAGGTGAAAATGCATGTAATATAAAGGCCAGTGCTGGCACAATCCTACTACACTGTGTGCCCAGCACTGTGTAACCAATGTATACGCTGCTTGTTTATCCTTTACATCTAACATCACAGTAAAACCTGCAAAAGCCGAAAGCTGTGTAAGATGGAAACCTGTCAGAGAAGGAAAATTCATAGTTTCCACTAATAGAGAGCAATAGAAGAACGGTAAAACTGCACCCTAAGGCGGAAAACTTGCGAGACCCGGAAAAACAAGGCAGTTTCATCAAGTTTCGACTCTCACAGGGTTCACTGTACATTCATTTAATCCTCACAACCACCTGGTAAATTGGGTGCCGTTATGATCCCCACTTTACAGATGCTGAAACTGAAGCACAGGTTGGTTAGATAACTTTCCAAGATCATACAGCTAGTAAGAGGCAGAGTTAAAATGCAACGCCCACATTCCAGTTCCAGGGTCCACGCCCTGGACCTAAACGAAACCCAAACCCCCCAAACCCATTGCCCTCAAGTCGATTCCGACTCATAGCGACCCTATAGGACGGAGTAGAACTGCCCCGTAGAGTTTCCAAGGAGCACCTGGTGAACTCAAACTGCCGACCTTCTGGTTAGCAGCTGTAGCTCTTAATCACTACCAGGGTTTCCAACCTCTTGCAAATCCTTTTAATTGCCCACAAGGCACAGCGGACAGCCCATCTTTCATTAGAAGAAATCAGTTTCTTCTTTTGCGTTCCAAATGAGGTAGCTGGCTTGCATTTAGAGGGCACATGTATACACAAATAACTTTCTTAATACTAGATTAATAACTTGTTAGGTGCTATTGAGTTGATTCCAACTCATAGCAACCCCATGCGATAGAGTAGAACTGCCCCATAGTGCTTCCTAGGCTGTAATTTTTAAAGGAGCTGATCGCCACGTCTTTCTCCTAAGGAGCTACTGGGTGAGTTTGAACCACCACCCTTTTGGTTAGCAGCTGAGTGCTTAACCTTTGCACCACCAGGGACCCTTAGACTAATTAACTACAGGGTCAAGATGGCCGCACTGTGAGACGAGGTGGGGGAGTGAGACCCACAAAGGATCAGCAGAGCCCTGACCCCACTTTCCTGCTCCAGGCATCCATTCAACTCCACAGCCCGTTAGGACCACCAGTAGTTGCTGTTGGGTGCTGTCAAGTCAGATTCCTACTTATAGCGATCCCATGTGACAGAGTAGAAGTGCCCCACAGGGTTTTCAAGTCTATCATCTTTATGGGAGCGGATCGCCAGGTCCCCCCAGCCCTCACTGCAGAGCCACTGGGTGTGGGTGGGGCCCTGGCGTCCTTATTTTTTTAAAGCTCCCCCAGAGTCTCAATGTGCAGTCAAGGTTGAATCTCTCCTTGAAAACAGAATGACAGGTGAGGCACATACTAGCTAGCCCTCCTCATCACTTCACTATGCCTTAAATGAAATGCACTTATACTTTCTCTCCCTATAGAAGGGAGGAGGTGGGGGAGAGGGGTAGGCTAAGTAAAAGGGCATCTGATCAGTATAAACAGCCATTAACCATAATCACTACAGTCTGTGTAGCTGTGTGAAAAATACTGATGATAGAAGGTTAAGGGGAAAACAGTGCACATGTGCAATAATTATTAAAATGCATATGGACTGGGGGGGGCGGCTCTTGAGTGGTTTACTTACACTTTCTTAATTGTCCTTGAATGGGCTTATATTGTTGTTCGACTCGAGGGCAATGAGTTTGGTTTTTTTGTTTTTTAATTACCATTTTTACAGATATTCTCAATTGCGTTTCCCATCCCTGATTCTCCATTGCCAGAGGCACTTGAAAACTAGAGAAGCTACATGGCCAGTGGTTTAAACCAGTGATTTGCAAAGTGTCGTCCATGGACCAGCAGCATCAGCATCCTCTGGGGGCTTGTTGGAAATGCAGACTCTCCCTCCAACCCCAGTCCAACCCCAGACCTACTGATTCTGAAATCTCTGGGGGCAGGGCACAGGAATCACCTCCAGGTGACTAATGATCAATCAAATTTGAGAAGCTTTGGTTTACACCTACTTCTCTTCTCCAACAGGCTTCCTCCCAACTCCAACACCAAGGGCAGCTGGCAGGTAGCTGGGTAAGTGGAGTTGGCCTCTGACCCTCCTAGGCCAGGGCGTGAGCCCCAGCCTCCCCGGCCTGGCAGCTTGCACCCCTGTGACTATGGAAGTTTTGTCTCCTGCTCAAATGTCAAACTTCAGAAGACTGTAGGTGGGTGAGGCAGTACAAGGCCTGCCCAGCCCAGGCTAGGAACCCCCTCCACTTGCCTGTTTGAGGTTGTACAGGCCATGCTTGTTGCAGTTGGGAATGTGCAAGGAGTAAAGGTGCTCCAGCGGGCCCCTCTCATCGGGCAGGCGCATGGTGGAGATCCGCTCCAGGACCTGATCCAACTCCTGCTGGCAAGGGGTCTGGGGGGGCACAAGGGTGGTCAGAGTGGGAATGATGGGCTACAGAACAATGGTGCTGGGAGAAACCTCAAGAAGACTCTCACCCTTGGGAAGGGACTTTCCCAGGTCCCACAGCCAGTTGGCCATACCAGGACTTCTGCCACCCGGCCCAGTGATTGCGCTGTCAAAGAACTGTGCCCACCTCACCCCTAGAAATCAGAGGGACTGGAGTTTTCCTCCCTTCCTTGCTCCGTGGCAAAGGCTTTGATGGGTCAAAATGGGATTTATTTGCAAACCCCAAATTCAAGTGGTTCTCTCTCCAAGTGCCTAGACCCCAGCCTTCTCTTCCTTTCCATAAACCCAGCTAGGGCCAAGACTCAAGACAGAAGAGAGGAACTGGAAAAAGGAAGTGGGGTAGCTGAGTGCGGGGAGTTTATCAGAAGGAAGAAACTCCAACCATATGCCTAGCCCATTTCACAGCCAGAAATACTGAGGCCCCAAAAGCTAAATGATTGACTCAAAGTTCATGGAATATGTTAGTGGCAGAGCTGGAAATGAAAGTGCTTTGACTGTAGGTAACACAGGATGTAGATGTTATTGAAATGCCCTCCCTCAGCGGGGAGCCTCCCTTTCCACGTTCTCCTGATCCCTCCAACCAGTCCTGCCCCACTGACCCTGGCAGGTGGTGGCCGAAGCTTCTTGGGCTCCTCCAGGCCAAGGTGATGCTTGCCACCTTTGCCCATTTGCCGGTGCTGCTCAGTCACCTTCTCCCGGAACACAGCCAGCTCCTTCATGCCCGACTTGAGGGGCTTCCGGGCAGCAGTGCCTCCAACCACCAGCATGTTCATGGTCCCATCCACGTGGTTCTCGACAAGGCTTCCCTCGGAGTGGTCATCACCATTATCTGTAGAGAAGAAGGGAAGAAGAGCTCCAGGCCCAGCTTTCCAGAGGGATGGGCCCTCGACTGCTGTCTGGACTCCTAATCATGACAAGGATGGAGATGACCAATGCTAATGAGCGCTTACTACATGTCAGAGCCTATGCTAAGACATTTACATGGATTATCTACTTCAGACTCCACAGTAACTCTCAGGTGGGTGTTATTAGCACCCTCTCCCAACTTTTACAGATAAGAGACGTTGATGCTCACAGAGGTCAGTTACTTGACTAAGATCACAAATCTGCTAAGTGAGGGGTCCAGGATTTGAACCCAGACTGTCGACTCCAAAAGAATGTCTCAAACGCCCACTCTATCCTGCCTCAGCCTAGGAGGCCAAGGCAGAGCAGAGGAGCACAAAGGATGAATGTGTCTGCCAGGCCCTTAACCAGCAATGGGATTCAGTCTATTCTGAGGTCCACCGTTCTTCTCTAGAATGACCTCCCAGAGTCTCTTGTCGCTAACCCCCAGTTTAAGGTCTTCATCATTTATGGTCTGTTTGAAATAGTGCAGATAAGATGCATGCTGCAGATATCGCTAAGCCATGCATGTCTGGCAAGGAGGGAGAAAACGGAGAGCCATGTTGCCACCCAAATTCCCCAGGTCCCAGCACGCTCTGCTCCATTCCCCCTCACTCTTCATTTGCCAGCCAGCCTGGCTTCAGTGTTCCCAAAGTGCTTTGCTCCCACAGCTGCTACAGCACATCCCCATTGACTCTACTTGTTTCCATGCATGTTTGCGTGCCCCCTCTTTACACTGAGCACCCCAAGAGCAGGAACTGTGGCTTCCTCAACTTTGTAGTTTCGGAGACTAACACGGGGCCTGAGTCTTGGATGTTTGTCCGAGGACCAATCATTAAATCTCTTTAAACCAGTTGCCATCGAGTCGACTCTGACTCATGGCAGCCCCATGTGTGTCAGAGAACTGTGCTCCACAGGATTTTCGTGGCCGATTTTTCAGAAGTAGATCACCAGGCTGGTCTTCTGAGGTGCCTTTGGGTGGACTCGAACCTCCAACCTTTGGATTAGCAGCTGAGCATATTAACAGTTTGCACCACCCAGAGACTCCTCAGTCTCTTTACTCATTGCTGTCGAGTCGATTCTGACTCATAGTGACCCTGTAGGACAGAGTAGAGCTGCTCCATAGGGTTTCCAAGGAGCAGCTGGTGGATCTGAACTGCCAACTTCTGTTTAGCAGTCAAGCTCTTTATCATTACGCTATCAGGGCTCTTTAGTCTTTCTTAAGCCACAGTCAGTCAATTCAAGGAAAAGACTCCTATGGTGTGTATAGCCTGGGTGGAGACCCTGAAGCAGCCCCTATCTACCCTGGTCTCATCTGGCCTAAGCCAGCCATGTCCTAAGCCAGGCATGTTCAGTCAGGGGAAGATGAGAGGAACAGAATCGTATGGTTGAGTTGTCAGCACCAGGAGTGACCGGGGAGACAAGTCCCAGCAAGTCCTAGAAGGACAGGGAATCACAGCCCAGCCTCAGCCCTTTGTAGACACAGCAAAGCAAACAGAGCCCCAGACCACGGTGCCCAGAGCGGCTCCCTGCAGGTCCCAACAAGACCTGAGTGGGTGCGGAAGGGGTGTTTCTAAACAAATCTTGCACATGTTGTCTTCCCCTCTAATGCACCTTCAAAAACTTGTAGTCCAATAACACAACCGAACAGCTCTTAAAATATTTCTACACAAGGGTCTGAGGTGAGGAACCCTGTACTTGGCTGGCCCTTCAGATTTCAGAGACAGCGTGGTGGGCTCTCTGGAACAGAGTTGTACGATGGAAAGAGCGGGTCCTGCTGCTAGCCTGTGCCTGTAAAATGGGGGCCGTGATGCCCACTTCTGGGTCTTCATGAGCCACAATGTTCACTCACTCACCAGCTACGAGAAGCGGCACCTCTTCCATGCCAAGTATGCACGGAGTGCTGGCATTATTGCAGCACCTGTTCTCACAGAAAGCACAGCCCAGCAGACTGCAGGTGATAAAGCATCAGCCTGATTCGTAGCAAATCGGAGTGGTCACTAAAGGTTTGCTCCCATCCCACCCCTTCCTGCTGGGCTCTAATGATGTGTGGTTGGTTTTCACTAGCTATAGCAGCATGTGATTAGTTTTCACTAACTATAGCAGCATCCCTTTAAAACATTATCTCCAGGGTAGTTAGCACTGGCTAAGAGGGTGTGATGGGTAATTTCATGTGTCAACTTGGCGAGGCTATGGTTCTCAGTGGTTTGGCCAAACACTAGTTGCTGTTCCCATAATGTAATGTAACGTAATGTAATGTAACGTAATGTAATGTAATCACCTTACATAATGTAATCCAATGGAATCAATCAATTGGTTGAAAAGGAAGTTTCTTTAGCGTGCTTTCTGCCTCCAGACTATAAATAGATGTTTTGGCAGAACTCCCTCTCTTCACTCTGCACTCTTTCCATCATCTGACCTACAGATCTTGGGACACAAACCTGCAGGAGTCTCCAGCCTGACACCTGACCTACAGATTTTGGACTTGCCATCCCCCACAATCGCATGAGCCAATTTCTTGAAGTAAACCTCCAGATAGATAGACAGCCAGGTAGGTAGATAGGTAGGTAGGTAGGTAGATCAATCACTGGTTGTTTCTCTAGAGAACCCTGACTAAGACAGCAGGCATACTCAGGTTAAATTCCAGCTCTACCCACCTTCTGCATCAGCGGTGATTGATTCCCCTCCACGTAACAGCTCTGTGCCCGTTTTCTTAGCTGTAAGTTGTAGGTAATACCAGTTCCTATTTCACAGAACTGCTGAGAGTATATTATAGGTAAAGCAGCTAAAGCTTGACCTGGAACATGGAAACTCTACATCCACCCTAGTTGTTATTACTTTGATGATGAAGATGATGACTGCCTCCATTATCTGCTACCTCTGCACCGTGGAACCCAACCAAGAGGAAGCAGAGGAAAATGAGCATCCTCTGAGCACGCTCAGTAGCTGCCACGGCATCCACACTTTTTAAAGTTTGGGCACTTCCCCATGAGTCACCAGGAGAATCATCCCATGAAGAACCCTGCCAGCTCACAACAGTACTCCTCCAGTAGGCCTGGATGTCTAGCCTCCAAGTCCGCTACCAAATAAAATCAACAAGATTAAAAGAGAAAACAAGGAATGCATGTGGACAGTGGCAAGAAGTATCAAGCAACAAGGAAAGAGGAAACTAAACAAAACCAAACCTAAGAACTCTGGGGACATTTAGTGCATGGCAGACAATTCCACACCCATCAGTGGCCTCTGAGGACTCTCACATTTTATAGCACAAAACAAGAATTATGTTGATGATGATGATGATTTGGGGACATCAAAAAAGGGGAGAGGGTTAAAATTTTCCAGCATTAGAAAGAAAATATCCAAATTACTAAACTTTAGAAAAATAAAAATTGAAATATTTAAATAAACAAACCCTTGGAAACCTGGAAAATTCTTCTACCTAGAATGGCTATTTCCATCGGGCCTAAAGGTAGTCTAGGTTTTACATAAACATAACCACCAAAAACCAACCCATTGCCGTGGTTGGGCAACCTCATGTGTGTCAGAGTAGAATTGTGCTCCATAGGGTCGTCAATGACTGATTTTTTCAGTAGATCACCAGGCCTTTCTTCCAAGACACTTCTGGTCCTGTTCTACTGGGTTCAATCAGACCCTCCTCCTTCTTCCTGCCTGCCCCTTCCTGCTCCTTGAGGCTGAGAGCAGCAGGAATCCAGGGCCCCATGGGAAGTATTCTGCACTCCCCTTGCTCAGCTGTCTGCCAAGTTCCCCTGGGATGAAGATCCGAGTCCCCCTGCCTTGCTGTGAAGACTTCTCTATGCCACTGCTCCCCATATCTGCACAGGGCCACCCTCTAGGACTGGGTCAGGCAGCTGGAGCCAACCACAAAGAAGATCCCCCATTCCCTCTTCAGATGGACACCAGAGGTGGAGGACAGAAGGCTGGGGGTGGGGGGAGTGGGGCTTGGGAAAGTCTGAGATAAGCCAAAACAAATAGGAATGGTCTGATTCTGATAACCCTCTATCTCTTTAAAACTAACCTTCAAAGCAGAAATGCAGGTGTTCACAAAGCACAGGGAGGACTCATCCCCATTCCCACCACCTCCACCTCCAGTCAGAGCTACCTTCTACTGCTGTTTCCCATCCCTGACAGGCCTCTCTGCACATAAACTTGGGGTGGGACAGTCCCAGGTTCCCCCCAGCTTGTCCCTGCAGACACTGGCCCAGGAAACACAAGGCAAAGAGGCGGCAAGCAAGGAGGCTAGGAAGACCCATTTTTATCCTGCTGCATCAGGCTATAGAGAAACGTTCCTTCCCAAACAACGCAGGATCAAACTGGGAAAGCCAAATTGGGACCCTCCAGTGGCCCACACCCAACCCCCTTTCTACCTGTGATCACCTTTGGGCAAAACCCCTTGTCCTCCACTCTCATTGCACCCTGTCCAGCCAGCTTTGGGCCAACAGAAGCAGAAAGAATTCCTGGAGTCCTCAACACCACTACTCTGCAGTGCCTGTGACCCTGCATTCCATTCACATGGTAGAGAAGATCTGGGACCATCTGCAGGCAGGAAGCCTGTCTGACTCTCAGAAGCTCACCTGGTTCCTCCCTTTTAGGAGGCTTACCTGCCCACCCTGAAGCTTGGGCTAAGACTGCCAGTAGTCTCCACTGTGGCTATAATTATACGTTCTCTGGTTGAAGAAAGGAGAGGTGGCCCATGTTTCACCCTATCAAGGTCTTCTGAGAAGGCATCATTCACCTGAAACTTCCGGAGCAGGGTCTCTCAACCTCAGCACTTCTGACATTTTGTGCTGGATATGTCTTTGTTTGGGGGGGTTTCCTGGGCCTTGTAGGATGTTTAGCAGCATCCTTGGCCTCTACCCACTAGATGCCAGTAGCACCACTCCAATCAAAATCACAAATGTCTCCAAATATTGCCAAGTGTCCCTTGGA